TATCTTGAAATCCTTAGCATTGGGGGCAGGTGAGGGGACACACCTTGGGATTCTCCCAAATCAAGCCGGGATGTGGGCCTTGCCTCCAGTGGCCTGAGATGCCAACACAAAGAAAAAAAATGACTCCCCACGTCCCCTGGCTCAAGCCCAGTACAAAAGTGACTATTTACAATGAAGGGGTGGGGAGTGGGGGGCGGGGCACAGAAAGGAGTGGGGCCAGAGTGAGCCCTCCACTCAGAGGAGGCCACGCCCCTAGCCCCGCCTTTGAAAGGGACAAAGCCAAATAGCAAAGATATTTATAAAGGGTCTCTCTCCGTAGGGCAGGGAGGACCCTAGGGGTGAGGGATGGGGGTGGGGCATGGGATGGGGTGCGGGTGGGGAGGCATGGGCGGTGGGAGGAGATGGAGGAAAGGTAGCTACTGCCCCTCGCCTCCCCCCTCCCCCCCGCCGGACACACAGTTTTCCGTGGGATGAACACAGAAAGGGTTAATCAAAAAGAGTTCGATGAGCGAGTCTGACTGTCGAGTGGGGCGGGCTGGAGCAATGAGGCTGCAGGTCCCGGTGGCCGGTGGTGATGGAGTCACTTAGAAGATGAGAGGTTGGTGGTTTTGGGGGTGGGGAAGAGGGGAAGAAGGGGGTGGGGAAGGGGGAGAGGCGGTCCCCCCCAGTTATCTCTGGGAGACAAGAGTGTCCTGGACTGGCTGAGAAGGGGTTAAAAACCAGCAGCCTTCACCACCCCCACCCCCACAGAGACTTTCCCCATCTCCCTCCCTGCCACCCAGCAACCCCCGCGCCACTGACCCACTGACGGAGGCCACTGAGACCGACCATACACACACCAGCAGCGGCGCCACCGCTGGGAGAGGAGCCCCTCCACCACGGCGTCCAGACAGCTGACTGCGGTGGAGACGGGTCGGGTCGCGACAGCAGCGCTGGGGATCGCGACTCCACGAGAGCCCTAAGCCAGTGTCCCCAGCCCGCAGCGCCCGAAGTTGGGCACCGCGATCCCGTCCTCCCTATCGTGACATCCAGTTCAGGCTTTCGCGACAGCCGGCCTCTGGGTTCCAGACGGCGAGGCAGGTGCACAGCCAGCAGCGAAGGCCTGCCTGGCTGTCGCGATGGGTGTGCAGCCCATCAGCAGCCTGGACGCCAAATTGCCATCCTCATCGCCACTCTTAGTGTAATACTTTTTCCATCGCTCAGTCTATCAACACCTCTAATCCTGGTCTTGAAACAGCAATAATAACGCAGGGGAATCCTCTCGCTTGCCAAACAGTAGGCTACCAATCAGAAACAAAATAAGGAGGGCGGGATGGAGAAATAGGCAGGAGAAACAGAACAAGGGGGGTATTGAGGGATTTGGAGGTTAAGAAGGGCAGAAGAAATACCACTCAGAGAAAAGTGGTACCGTATTCTTCCAAGTATAGGTCCCTACCGTCTACAAGTTGACTCTTCCCGAACTCCACTTGGGATATCCCTAATTCCCACCTACAAGTCCAGCGCAGGCGTTAGGGGACATAAAGATGGCACAATCTTCGTTTTCTGATCCCCTGATAATTATTGCAGTGAAGCCTCCTTGCCCATGCAGAGATGGCTGGGACAGAGCAGAAGAAGGTGGCTGGGGCAGGTTGGCTCAGATCCCCCTGAGACGGGGGATGAAGGAGGTGAATTTGGCACATTGAACCTCTTCTTCTCATAAGTGCTTTGAGGTCCTTCTCTTGAATCCAGCTGGCACCGTCCCTGGGGCCAATTTCTACAGAACTGCCCGAAGGAGGCAAGTGGGGTTCTCCCCGGCTGGTGGAATTCGGGGGGGATCCAAAAGGTTAGGGATTAGCTGAAGGGGAGGTTTTTTTTTCTGTCTTTTTTCTTTTCTTACAAAGATTCTAAGAAAAACTCGGGGTGGGAGGGGTGAGGAAGGGGGACCCAATTTAGCTAAATGTCCACAGACTTTTTCAGTGCCTCTTAGGGGCCTCCTCAAAGGGAGGTGGTCCCATTTCCTCCCCTCTATCTGAGGTTCCCTCCCCCCAGAGCGGCTCAGTTCCAAGGAAGTTTGGCACTTTTTTTTTAATCAGTGGGGAAATGGGGGAAGGGAGAGAGTTGAGAGAGTTGAGGAGAGGGGGAAGACAGACGTAGACAAAGATAGAGACGGGACAGGTAAAAATGGGAGCCACAGGGAAAGAAAGTTGAAAGCCATAGGGAGCCAGGGAAAGAAAGAGAGTGGGAAATGCTGGGGGGAGGTTTTGGTAGCTGGAGGGCAAATGGGAAGGAACAGGGAGACAATTCAATGCAGCAAACACTTATTAAGCACCTACTGGGTGCTGAAAAGCAGGGTGCAAGGAAGCCACTCAGAATCTCTGAGATCTGACTGACTAACAAGGAAAAGGGGAAAAAAGGAGGCAATGGGTTTTTCAATGATCCCCATCCCTGACCTCACATCAGCGCCCCCTCTGGACAAACTGCAGCACAAAAGATTGAGGTCAGATTGCAGAAGGGACTTTCAAGGGATGGAGAAGATGGTAGAGTGAGTTTCCTAGGGTAAAATGGGGCAAGGGGTGTGGCTCTCCACTCACCAACGTGGTGAGTGAACTAGCTCACTGAGCTAGCAGACTAGCTTTCAGATAGCCCTGGCTGGCGGGGGAGGTGGCCCCCGAAATATGTGAACAGGGAGGGGGTTGTCACACAGATACCCCAAGGGAACACTCTTCAGGAGGCCCAGCCTCCAGAGACGTGTCTGTGTGAGCGAAGTACTGGACCCCGCTGATTGGGACCCAGACTCCACCGAATGGGTCTACAGAAAGCATCTGACAAGCCAGGGCAGCTGAGGATGCAAATGATATGCAAATGAGCACTTTTAAATCCCGCCTCCCCCCTCCCAGACCTTACTTTACCTCTCCCTGGCTTCTCCCCTCCTCCTGGGGGTGGGGGGGGTGTTGTAGGGGGAATATTCTGCTAGATACTGCAGTACCCACATGTGGGTGGAGATACTGTGAAATACTGTAAGGTCTTTTGAGAGGTGAAGGGGAGAAATGGCCCACAGGGCCACCTCCATCTCCAACCCCAAGAGCCCCCAACTGCAGAAGATATGTACAAAGTTACATCAAGAATTGTTTTGGCACTCGTATCTCCATCTGGGTTCAGTCTGGAGATTTGGGGTGGGGGCAGCAGCGATGCGAGGTGGGGGATGGGGAAATGGGGGCTGCCCCCCACCCTGGAGATGAAGAGGGCATGGAAAAAGTCACCCTAGTGCCCAAGCTACAGCCTCCCATCAGGTGGAAGGGCCGGGGTGGGAAATTCAGTGCAAGGTACCTTGAAGGCTATTGCTTTCTAGGGATTTTCACATTTTGATTTGGGGGTGGCAGGGATCTCCCAGGCTTCAGGGGTGGGAATTGTCTCTGGCTTTTCTTCCCTCCTTCTTTGGGAGAGAGACGAGGAGGCCGGATTCCCCAAAGCCATGGAGGAGAGAAGGGTCTGGAAGACCTAGGAGGGGGACAAATGGAGGAGAGGGTGGGCATGGGGTCCCCCTCCCCCAGAGATGCTGATGATGGAACCAGGGCACTGGGGGCCCTGCTTTGGGTTGGAGGAAGTGGAGGTGGTCTCCAAGGGGGAGTGGGAGATGGATGCGGGTAGAGGTGGGTCTCTGCTATGCTAAGTCTGTAGGGTTGTCAGGCCCTGAAATCTCAGCCTGCCAACAAGGCCTTAGAGCTGACCACAGCTGCAGTGCTCAGGGAGCCACTCCCAAACCAATTCTCAGGGCTCCTGGCTTGGCAGAGTCCATCAGAACATTCCAGCTCCTCAGAGCCCATACTGAGAGCACCAAAACATTCTGATCCATCAGATACCACCAAAATCCTCCAGCTTGTTGGAAACCACAAGCCAATCTAATCCATTAGACCACACGAAGCCTCCCAGCTCAACAGGGCCTACCTTGGCTCACTGAACTCTACTCTGGGCCACACTGGCCTGACAGAGCCACCACACATTTGGCTCACCAGACTCAATGAAACAAAGCCACGCAGACACAAGCATGCACACAAAAGGCAGGGGCGGGGATGGGTGTCTTTAACAGCCGTTTTCGCTAGCTCCATCTCCCACCCCTCCCTGCCAGGTGAGTTCAAAGACTTGGTGTGTTTGGATGGAGATGACCCTGACAATATCGGGTCTTTTCCCTTAGATCCTCCAGATCAGATCCAAGTGCCACCCCTTATTCTCCTCCTAGGAAGACCCACAGACCAAGACCCACCAAAGAGAGGTGTGGGTCAGTCACTGGCCATGGCCCAATACAGGAAGTGCAGGCTTCATCCCAATGACATCACAGGAAGTAACCCAGAGACACCACAGAAAGTACAGGCTCCCATGAGATCACTGACTTGACTTTCAAGGAAGGCTCATTGAGACATCAGAGGAAGTACCTGTCTCTCCTATCATCACAGGAAGTGACCTCTGGGGAACTATTTCCTGTGACATCATATGGAGCGCCCGAAGTACCCCGAAAGTACTTGACTCAGTGACATCACAACAGGGACCTTCACTCCCCTTACTCCAGAAAAAGCCATAGGAGATGCCACAGGAAGCTGTTCCAGCCTCTCCCAAGAGTCTTGCCCGCGGGACTGGCCCAATGGTAGAGCCGGCCTCATTCCCAGCAGCACCGCATCCCCCTCCCCATACAACCTGACAACAAAAGAGTAAAAAGGCCCACCCAGACAGGGCAACTCCAGTGGGGAGAGAGTAGCTGAGAAAATCTGTGAACTCTGGGGCCCCTGCTCCTTATGCCCCGTTTCAGCTGACTCCTCTGCTATCTCTACTCCCATCACTTCCCTCCGATCTGGAACTGAAAGCAGGAGAGGTGGGGTGTTGTTCTGGGGAGGCCCCTCATTCTAGGTGACCCAGAGGCTCCCTCCCCTCCTCCCATATGGAAAGAAAAACTTATAAAGGCCGAAAAAAATCCTTACCAAAAAAAAAAAAAAAAAAAAAAAAAAAAAAAAAAAAAAAAAAGGAGGGAAAGAAAGAGAAAATAACGCTTTGTTTTCTATTAAAATCAACAAAATGCAATATATACAGATATCACACAGACCTGGGCCCTGGGAGAGGAGGGTCAGGCCCAGTCAAGCGTAGGGAGGAAGGAAGAAGGGGTCAGTTCAGGGCTGGGGAGGGAGCTTCTGGGCCCCATCCCCAGCCATCACTCAATCCTGCCTATGACTACCAGAAGGGGGGGTGCAGTCAGGCCTACCCCAGCCCCATCCCTCGAGGAGCAGGACTACACGGAGCTGAGGTCAGGAGTTGGGGAGGAGGAGAAGAAGGAGGAGGAGGAGGAGGAGGGAGAGGGAGAGGGTGGGAGCATACACCACGGGCTTCATCCCACTTTCTGGGGGTTTGAGGCCCTCACTCCCTGCTCGTAGGTGACCCGCTGGCTGATGAGGTATTGAGCGGCTTGCGTGGCCGCGGGGCTGCCCGTGATGGTGACCCGCCGGTTCCGCGTGCCTGGCAGGAACTCTCCCTTCTTGGAGATCTGGATGCGGGCGCCTGTCAGCTCCTGGTACTCCACCAGCGTCTTGCCCCCCTTGCCCAGGATGGCTCCCACCAGGTTCTCAGGCACCGCAATCTCCACCAGCTCCTTGGCACTCTCAGCTGCCAACTTCTCTGCTGTCAGAAAGCCCCCAGCTGCCCCGGCCGCGGCTGCAGCGGCCACCAGCGGGCCACCCCCTCCGCCTGCCCCACCGCCCGCCCCGGCCCCGAGGTAGCCATTGGCAGCCGCGGCCAATGCAAAGGACCCCAGGGCTCCGGGTGGCGGGGGTGGAGGCGGGGCAGCCCCTCCGGCTGGCCCCGCCCCTGCCTCACCCGCATAGGATGCCAGGAGGTTGGCAGCGGCGGCGGCGGCAGGGTTGGCACCAGCGGCCACAGCGGCCAGGACCCCAGAGGCCGCAGCTGAGTTGAGGCCCAGGCCGAGGGAGTTGGTGTTGTAGCCGTAACTCGCCAGCGTGTTGAGCGCTGTGCTGATGGCCAGTAGGTCGGTGCCTGAGAAGGCAGGCAGGGCGGCAGGAAAGGCTCCCACGCCCGCCAACCCCGCAGGGCCCAGCAGGCCGGAGGCAGCAGCAGCCGAGGCAGCGGCAGCAGCAGGCAGCACATCGGCGGGGCTGGCGTACGGCGAGCCGGTGGGGTTGGAGTTGGCCACAGGGCCAGCCACGTTGGCGTAGCTGATGTTGAGGCAGCTGCTGCTCTGGGGATCTTCCTGTACCTTCTGCACGATGGCGCTCACGGCCTTGTGCACCTGCTCCGGTTCACCGCTGACAGTCACCACGCGCTCCTGCAGGTTGATGCCCTCTGGCTTCTGGGACAGCTGCACCCAAGCACCCGACTGTTCCATCACGGCTTTCACTGTGGCGCCGCCCTTGCCGATGATCAGGCCTGCCGTGCTGTTGGGGACGATCAGCTTGGCCTGCGTGGGGAGCGGCAGAGAGGGTCTTTAGAGTGGTAAACATTGCAGTCATTCTCTGCCCCTGCTCTCAAGTGTCCAAAATCAGGCCCAGCACCTCCCTTGATATGCACTAGTATGGTCTCACTGGTTGTTAAAAATATTGAAATACTTCCATACTGGTTGGTAAAAAAAGAGCTAGTATTCCAACTATCCCTCAGTAGCTTCTCAGCCACCCTGTCCCGTGGCCCTGGGAGCCCTGGGACCTCCCTTCCATCCAGCACCTAAAGGCTTAATGGCTGACCCAGTGGGGGCCCTCCAGGACCCTGCTCCCAGCCTGCACTGGTGCTTGTGCCCTTCTATATCATTGAGTGCTCTGACTCCCAGCCCCAGAAAAGGCATCATTAGTCCCACTTTACAGATGAGCCATTTGACGCATAAGAGGTGAAGGGACTTGCCCCAAGGTCACCCAGATAATGAGGGAGCTGAAATCCAGCCTTGTGGATTCCTGCCCCACTGTGCTTCCCACACTGTGGCATGGTCATCTCGCACTTAATCTCTTTGTCTAATCTCTTTGTCATTGTCATGGGATGAATTGATCCCCCTCCCCCAGCAATTCATATGCTGACATCCTAACCCCCAGTACCCCAGAATATGACTATATTTGAAGATAGGGTCTTTAAAGAGGCAACTAAGGTTAAGTGAGGTCATTAGGGTCGGCTCTAATCCAATATGACTGGTGTCCTTATAAGAAGAGATCAGGACACAGACACGCACAGAGGGAAGACCATATGAAGACCCAGGGAGAGGATGGCCATCTACAAGTCAAGGAGAGAGGCCTCAGAAGAAACCAACCCTGCCGACACCTTGATCTCGGACTTCTAGCCTCCAGGATTGTGAGAAAATGAATCGTTTCATTTTACCAGTTTGTGGTACTTTGTTACGATAGCCCTAGCAATCGCATACAGTTGTCTTATCGGTAAAATGAAGATAACAAAACCTTACGTCTGAGAGGCAGGGAGGAAACTGGTCACTTAAATATGGTGGTCCCCTCTTCTCAGTTGCAGAGCAGCCCATCCTCTGCGGTCACAAATCTGATCAACCTTCATTTCAGCGGAGATATTTCAAAACCAAACGTCTCCTTTCACATCTTCAGGAGCATTTCTACACATAAATTCCTCCTTCTCAATCCTTCCCACGTCCCCTCAGACCTCTGGATTCCATCCCTGAAGCTGTCACCTCTGCCTGTCCTCTCCACCCCTGAGCTATACCCCAAGGGTGTTTGAGAAATTTGTGGGAGCAGGTTTTGGTTGTCGCAAGGACTGGGGGCAGACATGGGCATTCAGTGGGCAGGGCCACGGATGTTTGCACCCCATAGTGTGAGAGTCGCTTCCTCACAACGAAGAATGCCCCAGGTCCTGTATAACTTTTCAATGTTCCCCTGGACATTCATGTTGGTGAAAAGTCTGTTTATAAATCTCTGAGCCCAGAACTGAACCCCATGATCCATGTAAGTACCAAGTATTTTTTTGCATGGTTTTAAGATCTACTGAACTTTCTAAGAATACAACTATCAGTAAATCAAGGGAAGATTGTACGTTGTTTTGTTCTGAACTTAACCAAGAGTCGTTCATCATTTTAGGAAACCATGACGTCAGCAGTAATGCCACATGCATCATTTAAGTCCCCAATACTACACTCTGGATCATCGCATTTGTCACTGCCTCACTCACTTAGACTATGTTAGGTGTGAGCAGCTGACTATTTCATTATTTCCCCTATTGTGGTCCTGGCTGAGCATTTACATATTCAAATTCATCTTATTTTATAACAAATCACCTTCTTTTCATTTCTCCTTTATTTAAAAAAGTCTTATGGGATAGAGAAAATGTACATCTGTACAATGTAATATTATTTGGCAATCGATTTAAACAAATGAAGTACCGATCCATGCTACAACATGGAAGAACCTAGAAAACATGACGCTGCGTGAAAGAAGCCAGGCACAAAAGACCACATATTGTATGATTTCATTTATATGAATGCTCAGAACAGGCAAATCTATAGAGACAGAAAGTAGATTAGTGGTGGCTTAGGGCGGCGGGGAGGGGGGGTGGTGAGCTGAGGGGATTGGGGGGTGATAGCTAAGGGGATCAAGACTTCTTTTTGAGAAAATGAAATGTTCTAAAATTGATTGTGGTGATGGATGCCCAACTCTGAATATAATAAAACCACTGAATTGCATACTTTAAAGGGGTCAATTGTATGTATGTGAATTATATCTCAGTAAAACTGTTAAAAATCTTATGGATGTAGATATGTTATATATATATACACACACAGATATATATATACAATTTCAGAGAGTAAAGTGGGCAGGGGAAAATATTTGCAGGAGAAAGGGGACGTGGGGCCTGACAGGGCTGACAGCTGCTGCTCTACACGCTCTGTTCTGTTGATCTCTCTGACTTCAATTCTTCCCTTCCTTCCCCTGTTGACTCCACTGCATTCACATTAGATTCCCTGCTGTTCCTCCAATTTTCCCAGCTCAGTCCAGAATCAGAGCCTTTGCACCTGCTGTTCCCTCACCTGGAACGCTTTTCCCCAGAAAAGGCAGCTCGCCCCTCTCTTCATTCAGGTCTTTGCACAAATGCACCTCCTCAGAGAGGCCTTCGCTGACCCCCCAATTATCAAAGCTTGTTTACGTGCCTATTTTATGTCCGCAGCACAGACACCTCCAGGTTTGTATCCAACTGCTAACCTCACATCTCTAGTGTAATGTTGAATGGACGCCTCAAACCGAAAAGTTCAAAATGGAATTCCTCATCTCCCTTCTCGAATGTATTTCTGCCATAGTCTTCTCGTTTCAGGGCACGGTAAAATGCATCCTTCCACTACTCAGGCCCACGACCTAGGAGTCCTCGCTTCCTCCACACTCATCCAATCAACATCCAATCAGTGATTCTGTTGCCTTCACCTTCAAAGATATACCCTAGACTGTTCTAGATTAAAAGAGACTAATGAGGTAAACAAACAAGTGCAATGAATGAACCTTGACTGAATCTTGGATACAAAAATACCCTATAGATATAAAAGATGTTTTGGAGCAATTTGAGTATAGGCTTTTTGTTAAATAATAGTATGGAATTTGTGTTAATTTTTCTAAGTGTGCTAATAGTAATACAACAATATAGGAGACTGTCATTGCTCTTGGGAGACAGATGCTGAAGTATTTCAGGGTGAAGAGTCATGAGGTGTACAACTTATTTTCAAATGGATCGGCAAAAAAAAAATCCAACCGAGGTGTGTGTGTGTTGAGATAAAGAAAATGTTATCAGTTGGTGAATCTAAGTGCAGGGTATAGGGAATTCATTGCATTATTCTTTAAACATTTTCAAAATAAAAAGTTATGAGAAAAAAAATATATGCCCCAATATTCCCTTCCCTTCTTCTCTGCTTTATTTTTCTTCATAGTACTTTTCACACTCTGGCATCCTACATGTTTTACTTATTTACTTGTTTATTTTCTGTTTCCCCATGAAAGAATGAAAGATCCACAAGGGTAGAGATTTTTGTCTGTTTTGGCGACTGCTGGGTTTTCAGTGCCCAGAGGAGGAGTGCCCGGGACACACTCACCAAAGGGAGGGTGAATGAATGATGGATGAAAGAATGAGTGATGATATGGCCAAAGGACCAAGCAGGAATGGGACTGGGTGGAGGCAGCCAGGTGGATCTAACCTGGTGGCATGTGTGTGTGTGTGTGTGAGAGAGAGAGAGTGTGTATGTGTGGTAAGGTGCTGTGCATTTGGGTAGCCAAACTCAGCCTGATCTGAGTTTTCTAGATTAACTGGAAATTCTGAGTTGTCAAATGTGAAGCATCCTAGTTTTCAAATGTTGGCAACCTCTTCAAAATGTCTAAGAACCACTGAGTAGTAGCCAGGCCACCAGTTTGCAGTCTGTGCACACAGATCCCTGAAAAGCTGCCTTGGACTCTGGAGACATCTGCTCAGGTTCAAATCCTGGCTCCACCACTGATGCTGGGCAAGGGCTCTCATCTCTTTGAGACTCAGTTTTCTCATCTGTAAAATGGGGCTATTCATACCTCCTCCACAGGATTATTGTGAGGCCTAATTGAGATCATGCATGAAATGACGAGCTTGAAATTCAAGTATGACCATGATTAGCCAGAAGTGAGTATGGCTGCCCTTCAGGTGACTCACACAGCCGACCACTGCCAGGTTATACCTGGCTACCTCCCCTCAGTCATGTTTCTGTTTGGCCCCCGTGGGCATGTCATCATCCATTCATTCAAATAAACAACACTTGTTGATGACTTCCTGTGTGCCAAGCATAGGGTGCCATGTGAGTGTGCAATTAATATGTGCCCACAGTAAGTACTCAAGAAATGGTCATTGTCATTGTTACCTCCATGGGAAGAACTGGGTTTAAATCCCACATTTGTGGTATAGCCACTTTGGAAAACAGTCTGGTAGTTCTTCAAAAAGTTAAAAATAGATTTATCATATGACCCAGAAATTCCACCCCTAGGTATATACCCAAGAGAACTGAAAACATATGTTCATTAGCAGCATTATTCATAATAGCTAAAAACGTAGAAACAACCCAAATTTCTATCAATTGATGAACAGACAAACAAAATGTGGTATATCCATACACTGAAATATTATTTGGCCATAAAAAGGAATGATGTTTTGATATATGCTACAATATGGATGCATCTTGAAAACATTCTGCTAAGAGAAAGAGGCCAGACACAAAAGGCCACAAAAATGTCATTCAATTTATATAAAATATTCAGAATAGGCAAATCCACAGACACCACAAGTAGATTAGCAGTGGGAAGGGGCTGGGAGAATGGAGAGTGATTGCTAATGGGTATGGGGCGTCTTTTTGGGGTGGTGAAAATGTTTTGGAATTAGATTGTGGTGATCAATGCACAACTTTGTGAATATACTAAAACCACTGAATTAGACATTTTAAAATGGTGAACCTTACAGTATGTGAATTAGATCTCAATAGAGCTGTTATTTAAAAAAAATCGTTAGGAAAAAAAGAAGTTTGATAAGTCAAGGGGATAGAACAGTAGAATGTACAAAACTAGACCTAAGAGTAAAGAGGTTTTTAGTATGTGATACAGAATTTCAGAGCAATGCAGGAAGGATGGAATCTTTTCATGCCAGCAATTGTGTTCACCAAGAAATGGTGAAAGCAAATGCCTTCATCTCTCTGTGCTTCAGTTTCCTTATCTCCAACATTGACATAACCACAGCTCCTCCATACAGTTATTGGGAAGATTCAATGACTAAAGTGACTGCCTAGTGCCTGGCACATGGGAAGCCCTCAGAAAACAGTAGCTGCCTTCATGATAGGCCCAGACTGTAGAAGCACAGCATCTTAGAGAGATCCACAGCGTCAGTTCCATGGAATCCTAGAGTCCCAGGATGTTAGAACAGTAGAATCTCAGAATAATACATGCCTAGAATTTTGGAATCACAGAGCCATAGAATTGTAGGAGTTTTAGAACCAGAAAGACCTCAGAGACCCTCTATCCCAATGGTTTGCAAGTCTGGAGATTTAAAAATAATAGCGATAATGATAATAATAATAACAATAACAGCAGCAGCAGGTAACAGTGCTTACCATGTGGCAGGCACTTTTCTAAACACTTTCATATAGTAACTTAATGTTAGCAACAACCCTACAAGGTAGGCACTATTATTATCACATTTTATAGATTGGGAAACCAAGGCACAGAGAGGTTAAGTAACTTACTCAAGGTCACACAGATAGTTAACAGTAAAGCCAGGATCTGATCCCAGGCCAGAGTCCATGTTCAGATTCCCAGGCCTTATTCCAAAAATTCTGATTCAGTGGTTCCAATTTGGGACCTTGGAATCTGCATTTTAAGCCACCTAGATGATTCAGATACCAGCCAGGGGTGAGAATCACCGGTCTAGCCTAGAGGTGGCAAACTGGTGGTCCTCAGGCCAGGGCCAGCCCACAGCCACATAGTGTTTTAAAAACAGAGCCAACCTTTAAAAATCAGTTGATTGCAAATATTTCTGGTTCCTTTTGAATTTGGAAGATGTGGCAACACTATGTCCACCTTCCCAAAGGGCAAGAATCAAGTGGAGCTGAGTAGCAGCTGCCTCCATAGGGGTGGCATTATATCTCTACGGTGAGGCCACAGTCCCCCATCCTTTATGTTCTCTTTCTGAATCCTGGAGGCATTTCAATTTATAATCCCTACTTTGCCCCAGCTTCCACACTGTAAAGAAAGAAAAACTGAGGCTTACAGAGGGAAGAAGACGCAGAGTAACACAGGAAGTCCAAGGCAAAAAGGGAACAGACCTGTCTCCTGATTCAAAAATCCCATAATAACAGTAACGGCAGCTAACATTTTTTGAGAACTGTCTATGCGTTAGGCATTCATGCTAAGTGCTTTTCAAACATCAATGAACACTAAGCACCACCCTTAAGTAGGTACCATAATGAATCTCATTTTACAGATGAGGAAAACAAGGCACGGAGAAATCAAGTCACTTGCTCAAGGTCACACAGGTAAGAAGCATCAGTGTTGATTCAACTCAACATCTGACTCCGGAGCCTGAGCCTTCAGCCATTATCTCGCTCACTCTTTGGGGCCCCCGGATAATAAGGCAGAGGAAAAATCCTGGTTCTATAACCTTTCCACTCCACTATCTCAGAGTTCCTGTGGATTAGGGGGTGGGGTGGGAGGCTCTTTCAGGCGCAGATGGTGCTAACCCCATTTTCCCTGCAACACGTGCAAACTCTTGATGAACCCTGAGCCCCTTGTGGCCGCGACCAAGGCGGAAGGAAGAGGCAATACCCTCACCTCCCTGTGGGTAAGCTGTGGCCTGCTAGTGGGAAGGCATTCGGGAGAGGCCTGGCGGGGCGCGAGGAGCAGGGCCGCTTCAGCACCAAGGACAGCAGCCGCGCTCCAAGCCCCAAGCCCGCAGCCTCTTTTTGGGAGCGATGCGCAGGGCAGCATGCTTCCAGGGCTTTCCGCCCACCGTTCCCCGCAGAGCTTGGGGAAACTTAGGTCCGTGGTCTCCTCCACCTCAGGGCAACAAGAATTCCCAAGAATTCCAGATTTCTTTTACCGAGGCCCTCTCTCTTGTCTTTGCTTCCAGGAAGTCGTAAGGACCCCTCACCACTGGCGGATGCTTCTCGCCCCTTTGCATCGTGTGCGCATGTATTTGGGAGCGAAGAAAGGGAGAGAAATAGAGGAGCGTGCGCAGCCAGCCCCGCGTTCCCCTCCCCTTCGCTCCCTACCCAGGGACGGTGCTCCCAGGGCCTTTACAGCAAGCCCACCTGCCCCGTGCGCACCGTGGTTGCTTGGCAACCGGAGAGGACCGGGCAGCGATTGGTCCGCTCCCTGCCACGCCCCTACACCACTGCTTCCCCGTAACTGAGGCAACCCAGAGGGGCTGCCCTCCTCCTTCCATCCCTCCTGGAGAGACTGTGGAGGAGAGGGACCCGCCCCTCTTCTTGCTAGCGAAACACCATTTCTCCAAAATGGTGGCTACTCCCATACAGTAATTAATGGAAAGAGAGAATATGAGAGGCCATTTCTAAACTCTTCTGGATATGGATGAACTGTCACTGAGGTCACTTCCGGTGAGAACAGGAAGTGGGAGGCAGGTTGCCCTGAGAGACAATGGGATGAGGTGGAAGGGAGAAAAGGATCTGGATAATCCCAGGAAGGAGGGATAAGTAGGAGGTTCTGGGCTAACTTCTTCCAGACCTTCACTCTTTCTCTGAATCGAGCCCACTCCTAGAGGTCTGGAGTCCCTAGACTGACTCCCTAGTAATAATACTAACCACTACCATGTAGCTGATTGATAAACGTTTTATCCCATGGAACCCCCATAGTACTCCAGTGGTGTGGGAGGAGTGTTTTCTCCCGCCCCTCGCCAGCTTTACAGAAACCCAGTCTCTGCCCCTGCTGACCTGCTTGGCTCTGTCGGGGTTCATCGTGGTTTGGGGTTGAAGGATGTTGACTACCTCAGGCTTGGTCATCGCTTGTGGGATTTCTCGGACCTTCTCAGCAATAAAGCTGTGCACAGCATTCAAGGCCTCTGCTGTGCCCTGTACCAGGCATACTCGCTCTGTGGTTCCTGTTGTGCAAGGAAGAGAGAGGGCTCATCAGACAGGAATGGGGACATTTCTGAGAGACAGGCCCCATTTAATAGAAAGAGAAAACTGAGGTCTGAGAGTGGACCTGACTGGCCCCAGGTCACACGGTAAGCCCAGGGAAGCTGGCATGGGCTCCCAGGCCATGATGGGTGGCCGGAAGAGTGAGTGGAATCCCTGTTTTGTAATCTGCACTTCACCTCCCTCCCCTAAAACAACCCCAGGGGATGGAAGAATGATGCTTAAGTGCTTTGCGATGCCCACAGCAGCCCTGGGCAGGGGAGACAGGGCTCAGCTGCCTCTTCCCAGTCCTTGCTGGCTCCCGGTTGCTTTGGCAACCATTCACTCACTCCCCCCCTTCTAGAAGCCGAGAGCTCAGGCCTGCAACGGTTGCCACAGTAACTGGAACCCCCTTATCGGTCTGGCTGGCCGGGTCCTCAGCCCACCCCCAGGGGGACGAGGGACGAGGCCCCGTTGCCATGGCAACCCCTGAAAGCCTGCAGCGACGGCCTCTGGGCTTTTGGAGAGGATGGGGAAGGGCTGGGGGATGGGGGAGACAGAAGAGAGGCCTGAGTGCCTGCCTGGACCCACCAGATGGAGGGCTGAGAGTGGGGGAGGGCAGGGGTGTGGGGAAGGGAGAGTAGAGTGGGTCAAAGGCTACTCGTGGAAGAGTGGGGACAAGGGGACAGAGAAAGGAGGGTGGCGTGGGTACCTTTGCTGGAGACACTCCAGATATTGGCTGTGGTTCTGACCTGCGCATCCTTACAGTGTGTGTGTGTGTACTAGGGGGACAGCGGGGAAAAGAGAAGCTGACTCTGGGTGGTAGTGGGATATGTGTGTGTGGGAGAGAGACTCTGGTGACACTGTGACCAGTGTGAGTATATCTGTGAGGCTGTTTGGGTGAGCGGTTTGTGTGTGTGTGTGTGTGTGTATTTGCACGAATGCATGTGTATACTTGACAGGACTGGCTAAATTATCTTTGTCTGTATATGTGTGTATAAGAGAAAGAGCAGGACAGACTGAGATATAAACAGACTGCATAATGTAGTGATTCCAGTAAAGATGTTTGTGTGCAGTCGTGTGTGTGGGAAAGAGTTCTGGTGTCGCTGTGATGTTCAAGGTTATGTACACTATTTGTGAGACTGAGCTGTGTGTACATGAGAGCTTGAGAGAAAGAAACAAAGAATCTCACGAAGCAGCAGTGAGGCTGTACGATGAAGTACACCACTTTGAGACTGCGTGACATTGTGTGTGTCTGCGTTATTGTGTGCACACGTGTGTGAGTAAGGCAAAGAGACAGCCAGACACCTCTAGGTGTTCAAGAGGTGTGAGGTATGCATGTATATGTGTATGAGTGTGTATAGCAAACAGACAGATAAGACTGAATGATGTGTGTGAACATGAGAAGGAGAAAGCGATCAACAGGCAGACCCAGGTGTCCCTGTGGAAGACTGTTTGGAGGACTGATGTGTCTGTGTGTGTGTCTGAGTGTATGTATTCCAGCCAGACAAAGGAGACTCTACTATGACTGTCTGGTGTGAGCATGTGGCTGCCTGGGTGAGCTGGGCATGTTTGGTGTGTGGAGCGTGTGTGAGTCTCTCCCTGGGTGGGACTCTGTCTGCAGGACCGGTGAGCTCCCTGGGTCTGGAAAAGGTCTGGAGTGTGTGCCAGGCTCCGCGTGCCTGTGTGTCTGGGACACTTGGGGGTGAGTGTCCGGTGTCCTGAGGGCATTCCAGTGCAGCATGCTGGTGCTACCACTCTGACCCCTCACTTGCTCTCAGCCTGGCATGCCAGTCTCGCTATGCGTCTGGGCGTCACTATCTTGGGTCACTTGTGGAGTTGACATCCCCCATCTCTTTTGGGCCGCTGTTCCTCGCTCTTACTCCCCCCCACCCCAGAACAATGGCTTGGTCTGAGCCAAGGGTGAGTCAGCGTGCAGGCTGCCTCCGTCTGGGTGTAAATAGGAAAGGGTGTGGGTCAGGGTGGGAACTGGGGGTGGGGGGGGCGGGGCGGGGTGGCCCCAGGGAGAGCCTGGCTGAAGTGGCCAGCCTCCCATCTCTGTGAGGATTCCTTCCAGCTCAGGGGGTCTGTGATCTCTTACTCCCTTGGAGTTCTTAACCGGGGTCCACAGGGGCTTCGGCAGGCTCAGTTAAACCCTGAAAGAATGTCCAATAATGACAGCTGGAGCTTACATAACACCACGCACCAGGCGCCATTCTAAGTACTTTATATAGATTTGTTCACATTATATCTGAGGCAGATATTAAGACATTATTATTCCTGATTTACTGCTAAGGACACAGAGGCACAGAGAAGGTTTGGGGTTTGTCCAAGTTCACTCAACCAGTAGTGAAAGATTGGGGTTTTGAACCCAGGTGTCTGGCTAGAGTTGGGGCCTTTAACCACTGCACCACCCAGTGCAAAACTGGGGTGTGTGGTGTGTGTGTGTTGGGGGGAGGCATAAAATGACTGCAGTTTTGCTTTTGTATTTTTGATAGAAAAAAAGAATATGTATGAATGTATTAAGTAGTCACTTAAGATTTTGCACTTTGGTACAAATATGTTATAAATCAATAAAATTAAAAAAAATGTGTGTGTCTATGCTTTTCTTCTGGGGGCAGGGTCCAGGGCTTCAGGCAGATGCTCAAAATCAGAAGGAGTTTAGAATCACTAGGGTGTCTGTGTGAGTACACGGAGTCTGTGTGGCCTTGGGCAGGTACCTGCCTCTTTCTGGGTCTTGGTTTCTCCATGTGTGACCCAGAAGGATTGAATCTGGGGCTTGGGGTTTCCTGTACCAAGGAGGGGACACCCTTTATATGCTCTGTTGCTTCCTTGGGGTTAAGGGCCAGGTAGGTTTTTGTTGCACATAGTGGACAAAGTGCAGTGTGTGTGTGTGTGTGTGAACCTACAAGGCTCAGAGGACCTTTTCAATTTCTCCACTGTCATTTCTCACCTGTTCTCTATGCTTCAGCCACACTGAAAAACCATCCCCCCACCTCTGAATATGCTATTTCATCTTCCTGAACCACCTCTCACTGCTCTTTGTCTAGCTCACTCTTACCTATTGCTCTGGGCTCCCCCTCCAGGAAGTCCTTCCTGACCTCCCCAGGCTGCGTCGCGTACCCTGTCTGGGTTCCAACCATCCTCTGGGCTTCCCCGTCCTAGCTCTGACCATGCTCAGTCATCATTGGTGTTCGGTCTGTCTCCCCTACTGGGCTGTGAGATCCGAGAGAGCAAGGGGGCAGCATCTCAGTCACTCTGTGTCCCCACCTCCATCTAGCACAGGGCTGGCATAGAGAACGTGTTCAGAGAATATGTGTTGAATGAATGAATGAAAGGGTGTCAGCCAAGAGCAGAGGGAAATACGCTGTTTGTCTCGTGCAGTAGCATCTCCACGTCTTACGTTCCTGTGGGTCCTGGGAGGTCCTAGGGACAGGACTAGGATGTAGGGTGCTGTGTCCTGCATCTCTGAGTCAGGAGCCAGGACATGCTGTACGATCTGGAAGTTCCACATCAGGAGAGCGGAAGCGGGCTAGACGCACGCCCTGGGGCTGAGGGGAGATGCTGGCTCATGTTGCTTGTGGGGCCCAGGGGAGTCAATGACTTTCCCATTCTGCGGGGTTCTCAGCTGCCTCGCCTGTGGGATGTGTGACTGAGCTGGGAGGAGATGACGTGGCTCATGTCAGAAAATGTGATCCAGGGGCAAGGAACCAAGTGTCCCAGGATGAATGTCCCAAGCAGAGGTCTTGTCTGTACCTTGTAGGCTAGAAGGGTGTGGGGCAAACTGGGCCAGGGTGGAAGAGAACAGGGGGAGGTGTGCCTGGTTCCCTGGCCTTGTCTCTAAACCTCTTGCCAAAGCTGCTTAGTGAGATGGGAGGGAGGGGAGAGAGAGAGAGAGAGAGAGAGAGAGAGAGAGAAAGAGAGACAGAGAGAGGAAATGAATGTGTCCTGACCCCAGGCTCCAGCTCTGGTGTTTGACCTAAAAAATCCAAAGGGATTAAGGATGAGCTAGAGCCAGCGCTGGACCAAAGATGCAATTCAGGGTGCCTTCCCTGGATTCCTAGATGTCAACGCTGGGTCATTGGCCTTGGGAGGGAGATACGGAGGGGTGAGAGATATTGAGGGGGATTAGAGAGAGTGGAGGGGGCTTGAAAAATTTATGGTTGTGGGGAGAGAGAGAGAGCTGGAGGAGAGGCAGAGAAAGGGCTAGGTTTGGAGAGAGGGAAAAAAACACAAGGGAGCTGAAACTTATGAGAAAGAGGGAAACATAAAGGGAGAGATGGGCGAGCAGAGGCAGAAAGAAACGAGGGGCAACCCCAGTGGAGAAGGACCCCATTGAGGTGTGCTGCTAAATATTGGTTGACTGGATGATTAAATAGGAAGGTGCATTGCAAGAGCAAGAGAAAGAAAAATATGAGAATATGAGAGGTGGAGGGAAAGGAAAAGATGGAGAGAGATGGGAAGACAGAAAGGCAGGGAAAGAGGAGAGGGAGAGGGAAAGCAAAGCAGAGACAGACAGCCGGGATGGGAGAATAAGAGAACAAGAGATGGAGGGTATGGAACCAGAGAGATAGAAGCAAATAGAAGAGCAGGAGGCGACAGAGAGGCCGAGGGGAAGGGAGACTAACAGAACAAGAGATGGGAAAGTCGGAAACAGATGAGAAAGAGACACATAAAGAATGACACAGACAGAAAACCAGTGAGACTCAGACTGGTTAAGATGGGGTGACAGAGAAATCCAGAGGGAAAGAGTGGGGGTGTGTGTAACACGGACGGCTGCCCCCCAAACCCTGAGGGACACCCTGACACCTGCCTCCCTGCCCACCCTCCCAGCTCCTCCAACTGACCCAAAGGGGCAGGTGTGTGGGAAGGAGCACATCTGCCAGCACATCATGCAAATGAGCTCATGAATATGCAGCAGGCCTATTGTCTTGCCCTGCCCCCACCCCCATCTGCTGGGGTCTGGCCCTTGGGGTTGAGGGCAGCTCTGTCCCCTTAGGGGGAGGGGAGGCCCCCCACCACTATCACTGCCCCTAGGGCAGCCCTTCCTCCTCATCCAGGGCCCAGGTGGGAGGGAGGACAGAGTGCTGGGCCGGGGCTCACCCGGATAGAAGTCTTTGGACTTGGAGAGCTTGATGGTGGCTCCCGTCTCCTTCTGCAGCTGCACGATGGTCTGCCCGCCCTTGCCAATGATGGAGCCCGCTGCGTAGCTGGGGATCAGCACCTTCAGGAAGTATTCGCCTTCCTCTGCGGGGCACACAGCGGGGAGGGGAGTCAGGGGAAGGGGTCTTCACCTTTGGTGGGCTAGGAAACCACCGGGATCACAGTAACATACGGGAGGAATCAGCATGAGAATAGCAGTCAGGAAAATAATACAAATCATGATCTTCATTCATTCATTCATTCATTCATTCCACAAATAGTTACTAAGCACCTGCTCCCTGCTTGGCACCGTTCTAGCGAAGCAGCCGTGAAGGAAACAGACAAAGCTCCTTGATTTCGCGGGCAAATGAGGCAAATAAAGACAGAAGAGGTCTTTATTTGGACAGATTCAGCCAAAAGCTCACATAGCTACATTCTTTTAGAGGGGGAGACAGACAGTTTGCTTTATGTCAGATGGCGGTAAGTACTCAGAAAACAAAAAGAGGCAGGAAGGGGGATGAGGGTGTAGGGCTGAATGCTCAGATCCCTGGCCAGGAAAGCCCTCCCCAAGAATTCTTTGTTTATCAAACATTTCTACAGCACCTAATTTGCGCTAGACTCCGTTCCAAGTACTTTACAAATACCAGTTCTTTCCATTTTCACACTGATGCTATGAGAAAGGTACTTTAATAAACCCATTCTGCAGATGAGCACAAAGGTCAAGGAATTGCCCCAGTTCACAGAGCTAGTAGGTGGCAGAGCTGAGATTTGAATCCAACATGGCTGCAGAGTCCATGCTCTGGACCACTATGATATACTGTCTCCAGGCTGTGGAAGAGGGAGCAGAACCATGTGGCTATGTGGAGGAAGAGCAAGTGCAAAGGCCCTGGGGTGGGATTGTGCTTGGGTTGTTTGAGAGAAAGTGAGGTGGGCAGTGTGGCTGGGGCTGAGTGACAGAGGAGGAGAGTGGGAGGAGATGAGGCCTGAGAGGGGTGGTGGGAGTGGTAGGGTGTTGAGGCTTGGGGGCTGTGGTGAGGTCTTTGGCTTTCACTTCAAGTGGGGTGGGAGCCACGGGAGGGCTCTGAGCAGGAGAGGGATTGTGATCTGACTTAGGTTTCAAGAAGATCCCTCTGACACCATGAGGGGAGCAGACTGAGAAGCAAAGGTGGAAAAGCTGGGAGTCCAGTGAGGAGGTGACTGCAATGGTCCGGGCAGGAGGTGATAGCCATCTGACTGGTGGAAACAGCGAGGGAGGAGGGGGCGGGGGGAAGGAGGGCTGGACTCTGGAGATGCTCTCAATGCTCACTATTGACCCAGCGCTGCGTCTAGTGCTTTGCAAGCTTGATCTCATCCATTCCTCACAATCTCCCAGTGAGGTGGGTAGAATGAACTCCATTTTTACATAAGAGGAAACTGAGGCGCAGAGGGGCTCAGAGAAGTGAGGGCACAGGGCCAAGGTCAGTAGCCCAGAGGCACCAAGACAGTTGCCCCATTGAGATTCAAATGCAATTCTGCTTCATGTTTGGCCCTCCCTTGCTTGACACTCTCCCCTGCTGGTGGCTAAGGACAGCCTCAAAGACCTAGAGGTGGCAGGTGGTGCCAAGGGTCCTTTGCTAGGGACCAATTTTCTTGGTCATGCGTAAAACACTTTGATAATGCAGTCTCAAGGCAAGCGCCCAGCCTCTCCTACCTTCTAACCAAACCGTTGCCCCTACGTCCTCCTAGGGAAAAAATTCTGGTGCCTTCTCAGTGTAAGTCTCTTTGTGATTTGGCCCCGCCCACCTTTCCAGCTTTGCATCCTCATCTTCCTCTATGGGCACCAGGCACACCTTCCTTTTGGTTCCCCAAACATTTCCTCCTCCAACCCACCTCAGGGCCTTTGCACATTCTCTGTGCCTGGAACTCCCCTCCCCCAGTGAATTCCTGTTGTCTTTGGGGTCCCCACTCAAACGTCACTTCTTCTTGGAAGCTTTCCTTGGACTCTGAGGAGGGGTGGATCCCCCGTTTCACGCCTTCAGAGCAGTGTATCACAGAAGTCTATCGTGGGTCACGTCACTAGAGTTCACCCTTGCGTCCCAGGGCCTCACGCAGTGCCTGGCACATAGAGTAGGCAGGCAGCAAACACTGGGAAAAGGAAGGGAGGAGCCAGGCCATTCTGCTTCCAAAGCTCAAAGTCTTAAACCATCCCCCAGTGGTTTTTCAACTTTTTCTTTTAAGCAAAGGAAACCTATTTTCAATGTCTCACATGAAACTCCAACATACAGAGCAGATAAAAGAGAAACTGGCTCTGGTGAAAGTGGGGGTGGGGTGGGGGGCTGGGAGCCCTGCCCATCTCCGCCTGGTCCCTTGAGATTGAAGGTTCTGGGTTCCCTGATGTGTTAAGATGGGGATATGGCGGCAAGGGGCTGGATGTGGCTTTGCAGGCATGGGGAGGGGGTCTAGAATTAAGGGGTTTCCCTGAGCCCAAGGCAATCCTCTTAAAACTTGCCTAATCAGACCATTAAGCCTATTAGATCATTAGCCCACCAGGGTGCCTTCCCATCAGTCATCCTGACCCCCCTGAATTCACTTTCTTCCTTGGGCTCACAGAGGTGGCCTCTTGCCTGCCCCGCCCCTAAACCTGTCACAGGGATGAGGGGCCAGTTCTCATCTCTGGAAGGCTCAGACAGATGAGGAGGGCACTCCCACTAGGACTCCGATCTCACTCCCCATCTTCTCTCCAGTCAAGGCCTCTACCCCAGCTTCCCTCTTGAAGACAGAAGGTATTTGCCTGCTCTGAAGAAAACCGGGGACGCCCCCCACCCCATTTTCTGCACTCTGTCTCTCACACTTCCCAAGTTTTGTCTGAGAATTGCCATAGGAAATGGCAGGAACAGCCCTAGACTGAGTGTGAATTTTGTCACTGACAAGCCGTGTGGCCTTGGGCAAGTTGCCTCAGCTCTTTGGGTCTCAGTTTTCTCATCTATAAAATGGGGACATGATCACGCTGCCTCATAGGGTTACTGTGATTGATTAAGTGATAAACTGTAAAGTCTCCGGCACACAGAGCACTGGAGAAACCATCATCATCATTATTGTTGCCTACTTCATGCAGACAAGTTCTTATCCCAGAGCCTGGTACACCGTCAGCGCTCTATAAATGGGGAAATGAGTCTCTAACATTTGGGGCTTTGTTGGGAGATAGCAGATGGAGGGGAGACCCCATTTTCTTCATCACCTCCCTCCCCAGTCTCTTTCCTGCTTCTTGGAGGAGGAATGTCCTCTCGCTGATAGAAGCTAGACCCTCTGCTTGTACCCTGTCTCAGTATCTCTCCCTTCTTCCTCACGCCACCCTCTTGAATTCTGCCCTTTGTACGTCCCTCTGGGCTATTATTTCCTTCCTTCTTCTCTCCCTTCCTCCAACAAATCCTTCCAGAGCACCCACACTGTGCCTCGTTTTAGGTGCTGGGGAGACAGCGGGGGAACAAGGCAGTCCATTTCTTTTAAGTCCACTAGCTTTTAAAATGGAAATGCAGCTATTTAAAGAGGACATTTAAAAATCATTGCGGATAATCAGAGTTTGAAGGGCTGGTTATGTTTTTCCCTCCAAAGCGCATTAAAAAAAACACATAATGGTCAAAAAAAGTTTGTCCGTGGACCCCCTTAAACCACCTTGTGGGTGCTCGGTGGTTCCGCTATCAGAGTAATGGGAATTCTGGAGCCCCCTCCTCAGCTGAGTCTCCTGCGGATTGTGACCCACTGAGACCTCCACCTGTAGAAGCTCAGAACTCTAGGTCCCAGGGGATCCCGTGGTGACCAGCAGTCTGCTCTGGTCCTCTTCAGAATCTTCTGCATGCCCTTCCTGTTTGGGGGCATTTCCCACCGTGTGAGTCCCACCTCCCCCAGGAAGAAGCCAGGCCTCTATTTCCCAGACTGCCTTGCAGCAAGGGGCAGGCACGTGACCTCAGCTGAACCCGGATCCCCAGACCTCACACCCTGTTTGAACACCCAAGGCTCCACCTGTGAAAAAGTTCTTCCTTTTACTGAAGCAGAATCTAGATGCCAGAACTTTCCACCCAACCACCCTCCAACCTCCTCTGAGCTCTTCCCTTGGGGTCCAGGCAGCTCCCTCTACTCAGTGACAGGGACTGAAGAACCGAAGATGACAAACTTCAGCTCTCCTGATTCATCTGTTTCCCTCTTGAGGCAATGTTAAGCATTTCCACTTTGGGAAGGGGCTGTTTTTCCTCTTCTCGTCACTATGAGTCTCTGGTCTCCCCCTCCCTTTTGTGCCCACCTCCTCAGGAATGCTTCTGGAGGCTTCCAAAAAGCATACTCCCCCACCCCCTCCATAAATAACGTTTACCTACCCAAGAGATTCAGAGTGGTAAGAGTGGCATTTTCTCTTGTTCTTTTGTGAGGAAGATTAGCCCCGAGCTAACATCTGTTGCCAATCCTCCTCTTTTTTGCTGAGGAAGACTGGCCCTGGGCTAACATCCGTGCCCATCTTCCTCCACTTTATATGTGGGACGCAGCCACAGCACGGCTTGATAAGTGGTGTGTAGGTCTGTGCCTGGGATCTGAACCTGCGAACCCCAGGCCGCTGAAGCAGAGTGTGAGAACTTAACCACTACGCCACCGGGCCGGCCCCAGAGTGGCATTTTTTACCGTCAGTGAGTTGACCCTGCAATGTGGTTTTGATCTGGAGGAGGGTAATTAATGACAAAGGGAGAGCTGAAGGGGTGTGTGTTGCAGAGGTGTTGTTTCAGGCGGACGGGACTAAAGTTGGAGTGTGGTACACATGGCACTTGCTCTTGTCTGGGGGTCGGGGGTGGAGGAGACGGCATGTTCTATGGAGGTATGAGGAGGCTGGGGTGTGACGCTGACATTGTCATGGGGAGCGGGTGGGGATGTTGTTGGTGGAAGAAAAGAGGTGGTGGGTGTGGGGCGGGAGCGGTCTCGCTGAGGAGGGGCGGGTCGTCAGGCACGTGAAGTCTTTTTGTGAACGATGGTGTTGCCCGTTCCCGTGACAAACGTAACACAACTGGGGTGTGTTTCCGAAGCATCTGCAGGGATGAGGTGCCGAAGGCTGTGATGCTGTCTTTGAGTTGTGACACTGTCTCTGGGTGAGAGAAAGGTGGAGGGGGTATGACTTCCTTGGGGCGAATCACCATTGGATGGTCAAGCAGGACTATGACATTCTCAGTGGCACTAATAATAATAATAACGTGATAGATATTGTTAATTGAGCGTTTACCATCTGCCAGGCTTTATGCACTCTGCTGCACAGACACAATCTCATTTAACCCACACAACAGCCTGGAGAGGGAGAGGTAGACCTTGCAGTTCTCATTTTCCAGATGAGGAGACTGAGGCTCAGAGCAACGAATTAACTTGCCTGAGGGTCACACACCAAGCACGTGGCAGGGATGAGATGAGCCCCGGAAGGTTTCACTCCAGGGCTCTTAACTCTGGTGACACTGTCTTTGTGTTAAAGAGTGAGGGATGTTGGGAGCAAGTGAGGGATATTGGGATGTTGGCTGGTGTGTCAGCTACGTTTGGAGTGTGGGGTGTGTATGTATGTGTGTTTGTGTGTGTAAGGGGAAGCTGCCGTTTCTGTATATTTGAGGGGGGACAGAGGTAGGAATAGCCAGGAATACAGGGGCCGTTCTAGTGGCGCCTTAAGTTATGATCTGTACTCAAGGGGGACATTCTTTGTTACTGTCCCACAGACGGGTCATTTGTTTCTCTGATGAGTTCCTAACCGGAGTTTCCATCCAGCCTCTTCACCCAAGTCCTCCTGTCCTAGGGCCTTGTCTCCCTCCCAGTGGCATCTGCCTGCCAGTCACAGTGCCCAGAAGCCAGTTTTAACAGCCACCATCTCCTCTATCAGCCCCCAAGAATGAATAGGAGTGGCAGGCTGGCACCGTGGGCAAGAGCTTACTCTGCCCGATCTGCCACAACTTGCTGTGACACCCCGGAAAAGTCCCTCACCCCTCTGGGCCTCAGTTTCCTCACCTGAAAATGGGGTTCACTATAGTGTCTACCCACACAATGGAGCCAGTCTCCCGAGTTCAAATCATGGCTCTGCCTCTCATTAGCTGACTGGCCTTGAGTAAGTTACTTAACTTTTCTGTGCTCATTTTTTCATCTGTAAGATACGTAACATAACAGAACTGTAAGGATTAAATGATTGGTCTGTGCCAAGCATTTCCCATACACTTCCTGGCACACCGTAGCAGCAGAAATGTTAGCCATTCTTATAATTTATTACTATTACATCATAGGGTGTTGGGAGAATTAAATGAAATACTACATGTAAGCCATTAAGCAATAATATTGGTAGCTATTATTACTATTATAGCTGTGGTTATTATTATTTGCCCATTTGGCAGATGGTGACACTGAGGCTCAGAAGAGGGGTGGGGTTGACCCAGCGTCCCACAGTCATGAAAGCATTGTTGGAAAGAGCCCTCAATATTGAGATGAAAGTCCTGGACCCTCGCCCAGCCCTGCCTCTGAGTGTTTCTGTAAATGTAAATGGAGGACTGTCTCTTTGCCTCCCCTGGCCTCAGTTTCCCCATGGGTCAATAGGAGGGGAGGAGGAAGAGCCTGGAGGAGAGAGTCTCTGAGGGCTCATCCTAGTTTCCCAGCTGCTGGGGGAGGCAGGATGCACAGTGGTTAAGCACATGAGCTCTGGAACAGGGCAGCCGAGCGTTGGAGAGATCCCAGCTCTACCAATTATGAGCTGTGTGACTTTGAGAAAGTGGCTTCATTTCACTGAGCCTCAGTTTCCCTCACCTGAAAAAGCAGCTCAAATCGTCTCCCCCAAGGGTTGTACTGGGAAATGAACCCATATCTCAGAGCCTGACTCGTACCAGATGCCAAGTACTCGGTTCTGACCGTGCTCGGTAGCATCACCATTGTTAGGTTGTGCTGCTCTTAGAGATCAGATTTTGAGCATCTCAGCCTCTTTAAGAGAAGGATGAGACACCCCCCTGCAGCAGGAGCGGGACTGGACTGGCAGGCTGGGCTCAGGGACTGCCTGGGTCCCGGACCCTCTCCGGGACTGGGAATGGCACTGGGGCAGGAAGGAGGGAAGGAAGTCGGCGGGGACATATTCATGTGTGCGCTGGGGGTGGGGAAGCAGGAAGAAGGACAGGAAACTCCCTCCCACCCCCTCCCCCAACTTCCCTTTCCTCCAATTTCTGCTGGACACCCTCACAGGCAGCCAGTGGGTCCCTGATCGTGTCCCACCTGGACAGTGAGGGGGCACTGGGATGTGAGGAAGAGACTTGGCTTGTGTTCATCCGAGGGGAGGAGGTGGAAGGTCCCCATTCCCCGACTAGTGCCTGGCGGAGGGGGAAAGGTGCCCTCTGCTCGAGGTCATCCCTCTCCCATCCGGAGGAAAAGGCCAGAGGAAGTGCAGATTTTGGCCAAGGTGACCGCCGGGAGGGGCTTGTCTGCTCTGGGGTCTCCCTCCTTCCGGGGAGCTAATGGGCTGGGCTCTGAGGACCTGGACAAACCCAGTCTCCATCCTGAGTCCCCACCAGAGACGTATACTAGAGTTCCCAGCTTGTCTTTTATTCTCCGGCACACAAACCTCCACAGGCCACACACGCAGTGAGGGTCCCTCTTGTCTTACACACACGCACACCTTCTGTTGTATCAAACATTCAGCCATCACACACACACACACACACACACACACTCTTTCTCTCTCTCTCTGTTATCCACACATAGATCCCCACACCTCTGGTGTCACCCACTCAACCATTTCACACACACACCCCTCCCCTTGTTACACATTTACACACACTTAGGTGTCACACACATACACCTTCCCTTTTCATCCCCCTTGGGTGTCATATGCACACATTTCCTGTCACACGATCACCCATCCTTCCCTTTCCTTGTTACACACCCTCGTGTGTTTCACCCACAGAGCCCCAGCCTCTCCCTCATCATACACCCACCTTCCCTTGTTGCACACACCCCCTCTGATGTCACTGTTGCACACCTCCATGTGTCACACCCCGCCACAGCCTCTCTGGAGTCACACCCACACTCTTCTTGTCACATACCCCCACCAGCTTCTCCTGGTCCCACCCCACCCCAGACACGCCTGTGTCACACACTGAACTGCCGTCCCCTGATCCACACGGCCTCTCATGGCTCACACCCAGAGCCGGCCCATTCGGCATCCCACACACACCCCCTTGCATGTCACACACACCCTCTCCCTATGTGTCACACTCTGCCACAGCCCCCTCTGGGGTGACAGGCACACACTTTCCCTTGTCACACAAACCCCTTAGAGGGTCTCAAACATGAAGCCCAGCCCCTCTCATCTCGCCCTGTCTCCTGCACACACACACCCTCTTTCCTGTCATATCCATGATCCCTAATGTCACACATCCAGGCCTTACAAGGCCCACAGGCACACACGAACACACACACACGCCTGTCCCAGCCACACATTCTCCCACCTAGCTTTACACACCCACCCTTTCCTCCATTTCACCCAACACACCCACCCAGCTTGTCCCCATGCACGATCCCGCCCATGACCCACACATGCTTCCCTCTGGGACAACCCTTGCTCAGGACGTCCCCAGAGAGGGAGGCTGGAAGCTCCGGGTCCACAGGCCTCCTCTACTCCTTCCGCTACCCGGCCAGGACACGCCAGCCCGGGAACACCCCTGCCCCAAGGGGTCACATCACACACCCCTCAAGGACACAGAGACACCCGCCCAGAGGGACCCACGCCCCCCATCCTTCGCGCCCCCCCCAAGGACACTTACCACCCCCTCCCCCCCAACTCCTCTCATCGCAGACAAAGCTCGCAGCCCCGGGGCCGCGGCGAGAGGGACAAGGGGTCTGGCCCCCTCCCCAACTCCCCTCTCCGTGCCCCGGTCCCGGGAGGGGCGCCCTTCCCCTCCCCAGAGCCCTTGCACCTGCCATGGGGCGGGGGAGGAGGAGAGAGAAAGGCGAGGGCCCCTGCCCGCTCCCTACACCGAGCCGCAGCCCTTTCTCACCTCCCGTGTTGCTGCGCTTGGTGCAGACCACCTCGGGGGGCGTTTCGAGGGGCCTCTTGCGGGAATCCGGGGCCTCGGGCTCCAT